CCCAGCCGTTCTTCCAGGGACAGACGGCTCGGCAGCAGCATGTCAGTCCCAAGTGCGGTGTCCCGAGGCAGGTACCGGCTCTTGGTCTGGAGCAGTTCTGAGGAGGAGAGGTGGGTCTTGGTGCAGCTCCGTGGGGCGCGGAGCGCTCGCTGGTGTGTGCCCATGTTGGAGATGTTTCGTTCAGGTGAATCTCAGTTCAGTGCTAGGTACATCACTAAACTAACTCAAACTAAAGAAACTGTTTTAGAGTGTGTATCGTATGGGTACCGTAGGAGTGCCTGTCCAGAGCCTGACCAGAAAGGCCCACGGCACGCCCCGGGCTTAGCAGACAGGTTTCTAGATGTTGTGGTTTGCTAAAGAGACACTGCTGCTGTAGGTGGGAGTTCTCGTTTATTTTCACCCCCTCCCCTGCTCAGATTCATGTCAGCAATCGACAGCAGCACTTTGTCACCCGCACAATGCGTGGCGGTGTGCAATGTCGCGATAGATACAAAGACAAGGCCAGGCTGGACGGCACGTGGAGCAGCCCAGTCCGGTGGAAGGTGTCCCTGCCCACGGCGGGCGGTGGAGCGGGATGAGGTTTACGGTCCCTTCCAGCCGTTCTGTGGTGATGATAAAATGCTCCTTGCAGCCCTTTCAATCCCTCTGCAACAGGACTGTCTTGGAGTGACTGGCAGCGCTCCTCCGGCTGCCCTGGCCTTGTCCCCTCCGCATTCCTGTGTCAGCGCGATGTCCCTCATCTGTCGCTGTCACCCTCCTTCGGGCAGGTGGGAGACGCCGTGGGGGTGTGTTTAGAACGCAGAGGAGTAATTTTGTGTTATCTCCCACAGAGATGACTCGGCCGAAGTGGATGTTTACAATCCGGCGAAGAATGAGTGGGATAAAATCCCGGCCATGCTTCAGGTAGGACGCGTACTGACCTGCTGGATGCCTTCCAGCGTTAATGTTTGGCTTCGTTCACCTCTGGAAAACCAGGGGCTCTTTAGATCCTGACCCCTTGCACATGAAGTGTGTTTAAGCGTATCACAGTCGCCTGGAAGAAAAAAGTCCTGGTCTGTGATTGCGCAGCCGTGCGTTCAGCCCAGCGCGCACGAGCTGAGCAAAGCGAGAGGACTCCGTCTCCTCCCGGTGTCTGGGCAGCGCTGGCTCGGAGCCGCAGCGGAGCCGGCGGGCGCTGAGCCCCGTCCGAGCGCGCGGTTGCAGGACAGCACCCGACACCTTCGCCGTCTGCCCGATGGGGCAGAGCCCTCCGTGCTCAGTGCTGTGTGCGTTGATTTCCCACTGCAGGTTCACGTGGGGGGGAGCGTGGCCGTGCTCGGCGGGAAGCTCTATGTCTCCGGGGGCTATGATAACACGTTTGAACTCTCGGATGTCCTGGAAGCCTACGACCCCGAGACGCGAACGTGGAGCGTGGTGGGCCGACTGCCCGAGCCCATCTTCTGGCATGGCAGCGTCAGCATATTCCGGCAGTTCATGCCGGAAACAACGCAGGAGGACGACGGCATCGCGCTGGACAACACCATCAACCTGAGCAGGCAGCACCAGAACCTCCACAACCAGAACCTTAACGAGCTTCGTTAGCAGGGGAAGGCGCTGTGCCCCTGGCTCGACGCGTGTTCGTTATCCAGAACCAGTGTTGCTTTGAGAGAAGGCAGAGGCAAACTGGTGCTTGGAAACAAAAACGTACTGATCGTAGAGGGAGTTACTGTGAGCGTGCGAGGAGCTGTTGTGGAACCGCGGCCGGCAGACAGCGAGGCCTCCGCTGCGGCGTCCCTCGGCCCCTCTCTGCCCGCAGAGACCCAGGAGGTGAACCCTGAGGAAAGGCGTTGCGTCGAGCGGCACCGCAGCATCGCAGCTCACCGCGTGTGTTGAGACACCTTTCACTGGGCGCTCCTTCACCCCGTAACGCTTCCCTTGCCACCAGACTCCGTTCTTCAGTTTCTTTTTAGGGAGGAACCTGTTTGGTAGGACGGTGGTCTGGTCCCCACCTCCTGTGCACGTCTTCCTCTGCGTGGTGAGAGGGGGAAAGGCCTTCCCAGAGCGCCGGAGGCCTGTTAGGGGCGAGAGGCCAACACGAGGACACGGCCCTTCCTGCCCTGCCGCCACGGCCCTCGGTTCCCGTTCATGCCTGCAGCAGCAGCAGATGTCCCATAGCAGGGATCTCACTGAGGCTGGGTTATGAAGCTTTGCCTTTCCCTTTGTCTGAACCTCAGTTCCTCCTGTATTTTGGTGGGGTTTTTAAGTTGCAGCATTTAAACTTTTGCAGGTATTTGTTTTCCATCCCTTCCTAGAAAAGCACTTTTTCCTTCTAAGAAGAAACAACCTTATTTATCTTTCAGTCACATCCTCACAGCTGGATTGGTTTCGTTTCCGATCGCCCCTGCTGCGCCCTCCTTCAGGGGAAGGGGAGAAGCGGCTGCCCCTCGCTCCGGCCCCAGGA